TCCTGAGCACAGAATTTGGATTGCCTCGGGTAAGGATTTTGGTTTGTGCTTATGCATACAGGCATGCATAACTTCAGTACAAAGTACAGTATCTGCAACCTGTTCTTAGTGCAGAGAGACTGTTTCAGGGAATGCAATTATGTAAAGTGCGCTACAACGGGAAGGTGCCCATTAAGAACACAAGAGCCCTGCTGGATCAGAACCAGTAGCCCTTCTAACCCAGGATCTGGCCTCCCATAGTGGGCAGCAAGATGCTGCTGAAAGTAGAGCAATGAAGATGATAACTGACCCCCATTTCCTTCTAGCCTCTGGTATTTGGAGAGAGAGTGCTTCTGATCCCAGAGGTTCCATTTAACTATCACTCCCTCTAATAGCAAACTTGGGATGCTGAGTGTTGATGGCTTTGTGGTCAATATGAAGTTACTGAGTAACTAGAGGGGAGGTATTAATATGCTTAGGGGAGGACTACAGAATGGTATCTCCTGGCAGGGGTTGAGAAATGGAAACCAAGAGGGTAGAGGATTGGAATTAGAGTGTCCTGGAAGACACTTGAACAGGAGCACTCCATACTGCAACATTTTGTTGCAGCTCCAACTTATCATGGAGACTAGCCATTGGCAGAGTTCTCCATTCATTTGTCCTATCCCCGTTTAAAACCAGAGGCTATCAACACATCTTTTGCCAGGGAGTTCCATCAGTTAATTCCATGCTGTTAGAAGAAGCGCTTTCTTTTGTCTGTCCGGAAGCTGCTAACTGATGGATTTCAGTGAGCCACTCTGAGCATTATACAAGCTTTTCTTGAGCCCCGACTGGAGTATTTAAACCAGCCTTACAAATAAGAAAGTCTTGATGCTCACAATGGTTGTTGTGTTTGTTTTTAATAGTTGCCCTGCATTGTGTTATTAAAGGAAGGGGGGGGGAGATCCAAGATTTTAATGAGGTCTCCCTACCTGTTGCCCAGAGGCAAGTCTGACTCACCATAGGCGAGTGAGCTACTTGCAAACTTTGCATTGGTTGACTGGGATATTCTTGAAGAAATCTTTCTAAAGAGACCCTAGTTTTCCTTTTTAAAAAAACAACAACCTCAAGCTGCATGTTTGCTTTGAAACTACAGCATCCATAAATCCATGTACCTTTAAAACAGGCACGTCCAACAGGTAGATCATGATCTACCGATAGATCACTGAACGTCTGAGGTAGATCACTGGCTCCCCCCAAAGAAGCTCAACAACTTTGACCTGGACCCCCCAAAAGGGGGTAGATCACTCCCAGTTTTTAACTTTGTGAGTAGATCCCAGTCTCTTGGGAGTTGGCCACCCCTGCTTTAAAAGAATGGGAATGGAGTCTGCTTTTTTCCTTCCCTGATTTTCTCCTTTGCTTTCCCTCCCCCTTTTTCCTCACCAGAGCTTCTCCCCGTGAGCCACACACATTCCTTCATAAACCTTAACACCTTAGAAACAGAGTGAATTATACAAATTAAATGTAATTGACTTGATTTGCATAGTTCTAAGTAGAAAATTCAGAGTGTGTGGAGTGGTAGAGTTAGGGTTTCTGTGAATTCCAGTGTGAAACGGACCTGATTTGCACCCCCAAGACTAAAGTGTGGATCGGAACATAATTTTGCCCTTGCCCGAATTTTGTGATGCAATTCTTGTCTTGAAAAACAAACTGCCAGGAATGCTTTCAAAATGTGTATATTGAGATAAAACCCATTTAGAAATGTGCCCATTGAGATGAACAATGCAAAATTTAGTGGCAAAAAGTTTATTTAAATTTGTGTTTGAACTTGTACTCCAAACATGAATTTTCTTGGAGTTTTCTACGAATAAAATTTACCGATTAACATGAAGTCTGAACTGCGCTTAAAAAAGAAGCATGTGTCCAGTAGGCCAGGACTGCAGAGAGACTGATCCATCCATCCCTAGAGGGGAATACACCCTGCCCTCTGCATAATTACCCATTAATTACCTTCCTTGTTTCTGTTGTGGGCCAGATTGGGCCACTTTTCCTAATAAGCTCAGCTTGGTTGGCGCCAGGCTGGAAATTCTACAGTAATTATCAGTTTGAATTAGGGCCACATCGTTTTAGTTAGTTAAGACTAATCATTTGAAAACATCTTTTGATCAACCAAAAAGCTCTTCCGGTTAATAAGCAGGCAGGGTAAAACCACTGCCCCACAGGCTCAAAGGCAGTCTCCCTCCAAGTACCATTGATTGGGGAACAAACAGAGCCGCTCTTTGCTGTGCTAGAGGGCTTCCCACTGTTGACATCTGGAGGGCCACAGTTGCTCTGTCTTGACCAGTAAACAGGACCCAGTATGATGAAGGGGCTGAATTCTGAATTCTGTGGGACTCATCAAGCAAGATAGCATTTTTGGCACAGATGTTCCTGCAAACTGGGGTCATCTCTAGAGTGCTGTTAGCAACCTTCCCAACAGTGTCCCAAAATTGACAATTTTGCTATCATGTATGTTGATGGCTGCCATATTCCTCTACAGAGGAACTGGGGGGGGGCAGTTTTGGTACATGGTGGCATCTTGGCCAACCATCCCTTGTCTTGGATCAGCCTTTAGCAGCAGGCATCCCTGGGGTGGACAGAAGGGCCTGGCTTGAGGCAAGCTGCTTCAATAATCAGTCATGCATTCCCAGCTGGGGATGCGCAAGAAATTCAATGCAGGTTGGTTTTTGAGGCGAGCTTGCGTAATTCTCACTGTCCGAAACCAAGGGACACAGCCGTCCTCTGAAATCCACACTTTGACGAATTTTGCAGTTCACTTCTCCAACCTAGCAGCCCAGAAATGCAGGTCCTGGGGTTAAGCCATGAATGAAAATGCATATATCATTGAAAACGCCATTTCATAATGCATTATATTAAAGGAAATTATTTGCTGGTGGGGGGACGGGGACGTGTACGTTAGGCAAAATCATCATATAGTAGGCATATCTATTAGGAGAAATTCGCACTCAGTTACTGATGAATTTTCAGGAGGACTGTTTTCTTGGAAAAATCACAAACTGATGGGGGGGGGCTCACAAACTGAACTGAACTCGAGAAATGAGAAATGAAATGGGACAACTTTGCCCATCCCTGCTCCCATGTTGAGGCCAGCTTGCGTTGGGGATCATGCTGGTGGGAAGGGGATTCAGCTATTGGAGTCAGCCATGGTAGTACATGTGTTGCATTGCTACCTGCTGCAGTAGAAAACTCCTGCCCACTTACACACACACACACACTTGTGCATTTGCTCACTTGGAAACATTTACTTTGGGGTGAGCCATCGGGTGCTTTGACTGCACAGCCTCTGAGTTTGGATTAGTCTGGACATATTTGTGATTGACCCTTATGAGGGTGGGGGGCTGGTGGCTTATCTACCATGGATAAGCTCTCTTCAACATAGAGCGGATGTGGGGAACCTTTCACCTTCCAGAAGTTGCTGAACTATGACTTCCATCATCCCTCACCATTGCCCATGGGTGTAGGGGCTGGTGGGAGTTGTAGTTCAGCAACGTCCTGAGAACCTAAAGTTCCCCCACAGTTGACGGAGAAACAAGGAAAAAAGACCTGACCAACGTGTAGGCTGAACTTTGGGTAGTAAATTGAAAGCCGCCATGAATCTTGAGATGGTGTGGTAAGCATGTTGCTCTGTATTTACAACTCTATGGTGAAAGACTGATATTCCTGGCATTAGCCATTAGAGTGCCAGCCACTTCCATTTAATACGCAGAGTGCTCCTAAGGACTGGACTGGGACTAGGCCCCTGGCTTTCTACCCTGACCAATGGCCCAGATAGACCCTGGTCAATGGTAGGTTGACAAAGAGTCTGGCCAATCAGACAGGGCGTGTTGATCAGATTTCCTGGTTTGTTTGCTCTGTTTGCATTTGGGCATGTGGGAGCCTTGGGGAGAGAGATGTGTCTGTCAGAGCACTCATCAGTGCAATAATTCCTCCAATAGCACCTGCTGAGGGCAGGCCGCCTCAGAGCATTGGAGCCTAGCAGCAAAAATTGGTTCAGAGAGCGTCAGACAGAGCGGTTTGCCCAATGGCCGAAACCAGTCTTGGAGGCGGCCCGGGAAAGTTTGAGCTGAGGAGGTTATCTTGATTAGCATGTCTACACGGCTTTCTGGCCTACTTTGCGTGGCCTTGTAGCAAGAACCGAGAGTGTGCTGGCCTTGACACTTTTAGCACTTAGGTCGTCACAGTTGGCCTTGGGTTGGAAGATGGCATCTGCAGCTCACAGCTGACAAGGCGTTTTGCAACAGCAGATTTCGGAGGCAGGTTTTTGACCCATCATACTCAACTGAGCACCCGTGACACATCTTGTGACCAGTATACAGCTGTGAGGGGTGGGTGAGTGTGCCAAGGCTTCTCCCTTAATTGAGTTCTCTTTCACCCTCTCACAATATTGCGCACCTTTTTCTTTTCCTTTTCTTTTTTTACAATAATAGGCTCCACCTTCCTGTTTTTGCTGGATTCCCCTCTTCACAAGATGTCCTACCTTGGGTGCTTCAGGTCAAAGGTGCCTCCCGACGGGACATCTTTTTAAAAAAAAAAAACAGCCAGCCAACCCACACCCACCCAGGGAACTTATTCTCAGCAGCTAAATGGTTAAAAGACCCTTGGAAGCCAATGCTTATGAATGAGAGAGGCAAAGTTTGGCCAGGTGCCAGGATACGCTTTAAGGAGTGGGGGCAACCCAGCGAGAGCGTGAGAGAGACCTGATGATGGGATCCTTGCGGGGGGGGAGCCAGGGAGGGGAAGAGGGGGCGCCCGCACAAGCCGCGCAGCCGACTGCCTCCGATGCCACGACCAACTTATTTTTATATTTATTTATTTTTTTCTTAAGCGATAATTCCATGTCCTGAGGTTACAAACCGGCTGCAACTGGTTTTATTTTTTTTTCTTCTTCTTCTCTCCCCTTCCCTTCCCCTGCCCCCGCTAAGCATCATGGGTAAAAGTAAGCATCCCCCCCTTTTCTTTTGTTTAATATAACGGCACCACAGATGATTGGCAGGGACGTGCCCGTTCCACGACTGGGCTCCGGCAGGTCCCTGGAGGGGGATGGCACGCCGCGGCCATCCATGTTCCACCAAGGGGGCTTCTGGTGAAAAAGCACCCTGGCTTTCCCCCCTACCCTCCTCGCGGGCTGGCGAACCGACTCCCCCTCCATCCGTCTGTCTCTCCCCTCCTCTTGACAAGTCGGGGAGGGAGTGGGAACACGCTACCTGTAAGTATATTCCTCCCTTTCCCCCCCCTTTTTTTTTACTGCCTTAAAAAATAATAATCTCTTTTTTAAATTATTATTCAAACAAAAGGTTCTTTAGGGGTTAGCTAAGTCCTTTTCTTCCCCAAAATTTTTTCATCGCTCTCGAATGTCGGGTTTTGTATTTATTATTTTATTTATTTCTTTAAAAGAAACACCCTTACTGTCTTGTCTAAATGCGATCATGGATTAATTCATTGATTTTTGGCTTTCGCCCTCCCTGCCCCCCTTTTTTTCACATGGCTACCGGTCTGGAGCCACAGAGGAAGAATATATTTTGTGCTGGGGGTGGCACGGGCGGCGGCGGAGGAGGCGGCAGGAAGGTGGCTTATTTCGGAGAATGTGGCAAAGGCATTCTATTGTCTCTCTGGCATGCTGATAGTTTGATCGAATACCCGAACCTTCTCTCTCTCCCCCGTCTCTCTCTCCCCCCCTTTCCATCTCCACCCCCCCTTCCTTTTCATGTCAGCTACAACCCCACTCTGTGAATGGAGGCAGCCAGCTGACGAGGGAGCGCGCTGGCACGGTGCCAAGGGCTGGGAGACGCGTTTGCGCGTGTGTGGAGCTTATACGGCGAGCACAAAGCAGTGGCAGGGAGGTGGAAGCGGCATGTGGGGGGGGGGAGAGAAGAGAGAGAGAGAGGCCTTCCTTGCGGTCTAGGAAATCGCAGCCTATTATATAAGGGAGTCTGCGTCACTCAGGCTGACGGGAGGAGAGTCGGGGGAGAGGAGAGAGAGAGAGGCTGGTCTCTTAAACCTCCTTTTGTCGCCGTCCCCCCCCTCTTTTTTCATTCTGCTTACAGTGATCACCGAGTTAATGCTGATGGCTTATATTACCCCCCCCCAAAAAAAAAACTTCCTCTGCCCTCTCACTGAAAGACGGAATGAAAAAACCTTACAGCTTCTAAGCAAGCCAGTGTTCCTGAAGGATTTCTTTGCCACCTTTCTTTGCAGAAGGGAGGGGGAGAGGAACTCTTACACACACATGCACTCCCCACCCCCTAAAAAAAAAGAATTGCCCTCTCTTTCGTCTCTCTACGAACTGACCCACTAAATTCGAGAAACGAGGCATGAAAGGTTCCTGGATTCCTCCACATCCCTCTGAGTCAAAGATTTCGTTTGGTGATGTTGCTTTCGTTTGCTATCACGGAGCGGCTTTCATCGCCTGCTTCTTAATAATGTTGTCTGCTTCGGTTTGTTTAGGGCTTTGAAAGGGATGTGCCGCTGTGGTGGGTCAGCTCCGGCATGAAGGTATCCCATGTTTATGTTTTGTTTTACTGGTGTGGGTTTTTTTGGGGGGGTGGGTTTTGCACCCTCCGCTTTGAGAAGCTGCAGAGTTGTGTTGGCCAGCAGGGGTTTCTCTGTTGGCAGGGAGAAAGGCACTCTGTATCTGCTCAGTGTATGTCTTTATGCGCTGCAAGGTTTCTGTGGCTAAGCACTAGGTGAAAATTCACACCGAGGAGAACTGAATTCAATGGGAACGAAGAGTTGTGAGCCTGCTCTTGCTCAAAGCCTTCCACTCTGTCCATGGCTGAAATGAAACCCGAGCCCCTAAGAACAGGAGCGGCTAATGCCTGTTGGGACTGGCAGGGCAGAAGGCAGAGAGGCCAACCGTAGCTGCAGCCAGAACCAACCAGAGCCAAAGCCAAGGGCAGGCTGTAATCCTACAGTGAACACAGTGGGGCTTCCTTTGCTGGTGGACTGCTCAGGCAGGGACGACAGTGGTGGCTGGTGCTCATTGGGACTGATGGAGTGGAAGACCAGGAGCCCAAAAGTAGGTGGTGCCAGAGATAATGAGTGGCAGAGCCAACCAGTTCAAGCTTTGTCCCCATCCCCTTCTTGCTAAGTTCTACAAGGGTCAACACTGAGACCAAGAAGCTGTCAGGCAGGGCTACCGCCTGGACTGGTTGTTGTACATTACATACATACATTTATTTATTACGGCCATAGGCCCATACAAGTAAAAACAACACATAAATAACAGCTTGTGCACGTGGGAAAAAACAGCCGCTAAAACACCACTATAACAATAAAATACTATAAGATGGAATGGCATACTACGCCTTAATTAGCTTGAAGCACTCCTTGGCGTCGCTTTTGGGAGAGGACAGCGACCAGGAACCTAGCCACTTTCAGGGTCGTGTGGGAATCCTTATCCTGCAAGATTTGGGCAAGGTGGAATTTTGGTGGGGTACCCTCTAGTTTCTGTATGATTGATCCCAACAAATTTGCCCGTGGCACATTGAACAAGGGGCAAGTGAACATAATGTGCTGGAGCGACTCCGGCGTCTCCTTATCACATTCGCACATGGCGGAGGCTTGGCCCTTTGAGAATCTATGTCTCAGGACATTGGAGGGAAAAACGTTAAACCTCGCTTTGGTGAAGGCCAGTCTATGGGCAACAGTCGAAAGGGAGGAGAGGTATGATGGAACGCAGTAAGTTAAAGTGATACCAATGTTCTGGGGCGAACAAACACCTCCCCCCAGCGTATAATTTCGCTGTAAGTCGATGTCATCCAGTCTTTGGCGGATCAGTCTTTGAGCAGTGATTTGGTCAAGTTTTAGGGAATCTGAGGGAGAGATTCCATAACTCAGGAGTTTGGCATGAATTCTACTAGTCCAAAGGCTAGAGAATTCATCTCGCCATAAGCATTGGACAAGGTAATGGTTTGGTAATCTATGCCACAATGATAACCAATAGTTGAAGACTTGCTTCCACAGGCAAGTTTCTAAGACTGGTTGTTGTAAGCGGGTAGGTGGGGGCTGGCTGAGGGCAGATAGAGGTTGGTGGGGTTGTGCATGGTTTGCCCAAGTGGACCACCCTCCACTGCATAAGAAGACCCCTGGATCTGTCCCTTTGGGTATTCTGTTTCCCACAGGGGCTGAGCAGGTGGCCTCTAGGAAGGCCCCATTCCGGTACTGGTGGTAAACTGCCTCTGAACCTAAAGGTTCCATGTAGCTATTGTGGAAAATCACATCTGATCAGCTTACCCGCTCTGAATGTATCTCAAAAGGATGTGGAATCTCCAAAGGACTCCCATCAGCCCCAGCTAGCCATGGTCAGCAATGGAGGAGTAGCCTTGGTGGATCTTCTTGCCCAGTATCTCCATTTCCTCACAGCGGCCTGCCAGGCCCTTCTGGGAAGACCACATCTGCACATGAAGGCAGCACCTTCTGTTTGACTGTGGTCGTTGCCAAGCATTTGGAGGAATATCGCTGCTAAACCTGGTGGTTCTGCTGAGTTATCATGGCGAGCACCGATTGATGCTGAGCTTTAACCCTCTATGATGCATGGAGATAGTTGGTGCTGGTAAAGTACCGAGTTAAAGCCCCTGGCTGACTGCCGAATGAAGTTGTAGCTCAGTGGCAGAGCAGGCACCTTGCATGCAAAGGGTCTCGGGTTCAATCTCCAACATCTCCAGGTAGGGGCTGGGAAAGACACCCCTCTTGATCCCCTGAAGAGTCACTGCCAGTCTGTGTAGACAGTACTGAGCTACATGGACCAACGATCTGACTCTGTGAAAGGCAGCGTCGTTTGTTTGGGGCGCTGAAATTTAAATGAAGTCAGGCCTAAAATGCATGTGCTTTCCGTATGAAAGATCCCATTTTCAGACCTCCAGTATCTCCACTTACGAATTGCAAAGACTCTATTCTGAAATCTGGAGAATCAGGTTAAACAATACTAAGCCGGGTAGGCAATGGTTTGGCTTGGTATAAGGCAGCCCCCGACAGAACTTTGTGTGCCCCCAAGGGACAACTCTATCCACTTGAGACTCCTTGTTTCAGTGGGAGTGAAGGACTTCTCTGAATGTTGCCTGCAGTTGCTCTCCTGTCTTTGCTTTCTCTCTCCCTCCTCTCCGCTCTCCACCAGTGGGAGTTAGAGGACTGGCCTGTGCTCCCTGGTCTACTGATGGAACAGAGTTAGGTGGTCGAATCCTGAGCTGGTAGAATAGACTGTACCACTTTGGATTGCAAGCGGGGGCCACTGCTTTCAAGCATTCCCCATTCATTTATTAAAAATGAAAGACACCTAGCATCAGAAATGACTGTATCAGAGGAAAAGTTCCAGTCCAGCCTCCCCTGGCTGTGCTTATTCCCCCTGCCATGTAAAAAGCTTTCCAAGATGTAATCCACTCCCTTCAATCTGACTTGGCACAGTCCAGGTTTTGTTTTTTTTAGCCTTATAAACCCAGCCTGTTCTGTAGAGCAATGTGGTTAAGAACCCTAAGCTGGTAGAACAGACTGTAAGGTTTTTTAAACTACAAGTCTGGCAAAGCATAGATCCCCTCCCCTGCATTTAAAGTACAAAAAGAGACTCCCTGCAAGTAGAAAACAAACGCAGAAAGGAGCAGGCGAGGCTCCTTGCTGTTCTAGATTTATACTTTGGGGAAGTATAGGTGTTTGGGGCTTGGGTAGCTGTTGATGTTTGGGGCTTGGGCATATGTCCCTCGCTTGCAGCCTGAAATGGTGCAGGGACTAAAGGGTGGTCATTAAGAAACCCCCTCCTGAACACTCCATTCTGACTCTTGCCGTCTCCGGACAAGAGAACTGCAAGAACTGATGTGAGAACCCAGGTAGAGTTAGGAGCTAAGAAGGTGAGCCATGAGTCTGGAAGGTCCCTGATAAAAATGTTTACCCTCTGCTAGGAAGCCTTTGACTGGCCTATGGGCAAAGCTGGCTTTTCTTTAGCCAACTGCTGTCCCCTCACCTGCAATAGAAACATAACAAGAGCCTGTGGGAAATCCTCAGGCGGGACCTGAGCAATAGCAGCTCTCCCCCGCTTGCGGTTCCTAGCTGCTGATAGCCAGAGGCCTCCTTCCTTCCCACGGTGGAGTGAGAACATAGCCATCATGGCTGGCAGCCACTGATAGCCGCATCCTCTGTGGATTTGCCTAAATCTCTTTTAAAGCCATCCAAGTTGGCGCCCAGCAGTACCTCTTTGCAGGAGTGAATTCCATAGTTCAG